AAAAAAAAAAAAAAAAAAAAACTTACTGCTGTGCTTGTTCCTGCGTCTCATAGCTAATGAGGACGGTTTGTACGTTAGGATCGCGCGACGATAACTTTTCCAAGGCCTGCAGTTGACCGCAGTTGGCGAAGAGAGCTTCGACGTCTTCTATTCTGGCCTGAGCTGGGAAGTTCACAATCACCTTTGACCCGGAGCCGCTGCAAAACAAAATTGCAAATCAATGAATTTACAAGGATTTTTTCATCGTTGAATGAAAATGCGCTGAACTCGAATATACAATTTGTACGTGTGTTTTTGTGTCGTCGTCAAAAGTGTAGACACTGTTGCTCGATACTTCGTGTGGAATATCAAATATGATTGAAACAAGTATTCAATATATTATTTCTTTCGTAACGAGTTTCGAGTTCTTAATGATTTTCATAAATTAATTTGTTCGCCTATCTGTTAACACCTTACCGACCGGTAGCCGATTAATCGGCTACCGGTCGGTAATGTGTTAAAAATATGAAAAACTACATTTAACTAAATGTAACGAATTTGAATCATTTTCGATGATTCTGAAATTTACGATGATTTTTCGTTTACGATTATAAAAACTTCACGCTCATTATCATTAGAATTACGAGAGGTACGATGCAACTATACGCTACGAGAAACAGTCATACTTTATTTTTCGCCACGGCGGTTCACGCTTGTGTGAAAAATATAGACACTGTACTTTAGTACTTTGAAGATCAAATATGATTGAAACAAGTTTCCAATATATTATTTCTTTCTTAACGAGCTTCATTCTTCATGAATTTCATAACTGTTAATTAACACTTTACCGACCGGTAGCCTATTCACCGCTAATACACGGTCGGTAAAGTGTTAAAAATATGGAAAACTACATTTAACTAAATGTAGGTAATGAGTTTGATTTTGAAGTTTAGTTTCGAAATTGTAACTATACGCTACGAAAAGCAATCATACGCGAGTTTTTATCAACGATTCGCCACGATGGATCACGCCAGCATGTGGGTCAAGAATTTTTCGGTATCGGTTCAAGATCGTCAAAGGGGACCTGGGGGAAGGCGTGCAACACGGGCGTGAGTCAACGCGAACGTATTCGTACGATGCACGGCTCGAAATTCCAAGACGAGCCCCGCTGAAATGCCAACACGTTGTAACAGCACCTTCACTACTTGTAAAGAAAGGACTTGTGTTCGAGAAACATTTCGTTTCTTTTAATTTTAAGAAATAATTTAAAAAAAAAAAACAAGAAAAATTCATCGTTAGACAAAGTCTATCGTACTTCGTGCTGGATGATACACATATATATATATATATATATATATATATATTCCTTCGGGTTGAATTTGTCGCTTTTCACGTCGAGGTAAAATCGAATTTCCGAGGGAGGAAAAGTCGCGGAGAGATTGGACACGGGGCAACGGCGCTGGCGCGGCGACGGCGACATGAATGAACCAAATGGAAAGTAAGAAGAGGACGCGGAACGCGGGGAAGAAAAAGGAGGGTTGAAACGGCTGAGACTCTCACTTTCGTACGTATCGATTTTTCAGCTCGCCCCGACCCACTCTCTCAGCCGTCTAACCTTGGCTTTCGGACTAACCTTGAAGAAAACGTACCCCGACCGACCTAGCACCTCCTCCTCCTCGTGCACGGCTGATTATGCCCGCAGACGGGGACGACGCCTCGTGCACGCCATTGTTCGATCATCAGGCGAAATAACGAAAACGTTACACGTTTTTCCACGGGACATTTTTTTTTTCTCTTCTGCGAGTAACCGTTGTTGTCACGGGGGAGGATGATGATGGCAGGGCGACGCACGCGTATTAGCACCGTACGACCAGAAGACCATTTCGAACGGAGGGAAACTTTCGAGGACGGAAAACACACGATGACGAAGAAACGTGGAACTGGTCGAAGCCTCGACTAACTAACTCCTGGACGTGGTGCACGTGCTCGCGCGTCTACGAGGAGAGACAGCGAGAGCACGTTCGACCGAGAAGAGAGAAAAGTCGATATCGTGTCTCTGTTGGGTAGACAGAAGGCTGGTGTGCACGCGTGTATATCGGTACAGGTTACGAGGCTACGGAGTGAGAACAACGGAGGAGAGAAAGAGAGAGGGAGAGAGTTTGCTAGTAGCTGGGTGGAAGAAGCGAGGGAGGGTAGAGGCCTTTGTTTCGTGTGCTTTTCGGGGATTTTCGGCGGCACCCCGGCGTGGTGTGAGGTGTATGCAGGAGGTGCGCGAGGGAAACGTTGATATCGCCGGTTTCGTCTGACTCGCGGGGTCTCCGTCTCCTCCGCGCCACACGGCACGAGAATCCCCCACTGCTACCACCACCCCCGCCGTTCCTCCTTCAAACTAGAGGAACCAGCTAGAGGTAGCAGCCCACCAGAGCGCACAACCACCGCCACCGCCGCCGCCATACCACCACCACCACCACCATCTCCAACCTCAACCCTTTTTGCGCGCCTCTTTTCCTCGCTACCCTTCCTGACCACCGGCCTGCCCTGTCTCTCCTATTCTCCCCCGTCTCCTGCACACCCGCCGACACATCAACCCTCGCTGCGATCTTGCACGCACGTGTAACTCGCGATTTCGTCCGTTCACC